CACAAACCAGTGAATTTGAATCAATGAATGGCAATAATGTGGCGAAATACCACTTCATATATCGCCATAACACATACTTAGGAACTGGACAAATAAAGAGTACGACCGTTCAAATCAACAGAAACATGACCATGAACTTAAGCGTGAGGCATTAGACTTCTGTTGAAAAAGTGTTAAACACCATCGTCAATAATAATAAAAACAGCAATGATAACACAACTTACCGTTCGCTAGTTAATTTGGTCCACTGCTCCTGCTCTCACAACCGAAATGTCTCTGTGTGTAGGAGCGCGTGCGATGCGCGTTCACTTCGGCGACAATTCTCGCGCGCGTCACGTGACTATGTTTTTTTTAATTAAAAAAAAAAAAAATTTACATCTCGTTCTCGCAGTTCATGACGACGACGAAACCATACCGAAGTAATCTGTTACTCTAAAAAGAAAAGTAACAGAAAAGTCTAAACCTGTTTTTTAAATACATTTTTGTCAGTGGACGTTGATCATTTATTTTTGTAAACATAAACCTCTAAGATAAGGATATTTCTTTTTTATTGGAGTACCCGCCCTATGTGTTGTAAGGGTTACCTTTTTCTGAACATCTCAACTGATTGGTTGAGAAAAATATTTTTTAAATTAAAGGTCAGAATGAAAAAGTTGTAAAGGTTCGACAATCTGGTATTTCACTGACTAGAAAACGCTTTTATTAGAATTCTTTCCCCTTAAATATTTCTTTCAGTGATAGTAACAGCGCTGGTGCAGACTTTCTGACCACTTACCTTAGTCATACGGGCACAGCGCCATCACTTGGTAACTCAGAATATTAGATTCTTTATTACAGATTAGTGCTACTTCTCACCTTTTTGTTTTACATGTAGTCTCAAGTACCCCTACATCAACAACAAACCAGAAATAACTCATAATTTACATTTAGTTGTATTATTAATATCACTAAATAAAAATAATAAAACTATTAAAGTGATTCCCTTTTAAACTAAAAGTTGATGCTGTAAGTGAAAAACAAAACTTACAGAGTAAGTCCTTTTAAAGAGGAAGCGTTGACAGTTCCAGGGCTGTGTCCAGCCCATCTGACATTGTTTTGCTGTAAAGAAGAGAGAAATGAAAGAAACTTAAACATCTACCTCTGTATTTTACTACAAGTGTAACCCAATTTTTACATATTAATTTGTGGCTGTTATCAGGAATTACTGCTATAGATCACCTTCAGATAACAATACAGGCTTACATAAAATATGTAATGGTAAAATATGTACTGCTTGCAAAGATGATTTTTTTTCTGGAGCAAATCCAAGTGAGGCTGTGAATAGTTGTGTTATCAAACATGTATTATTAATAATATGTACCTTATATAAAGATTTTAGATATAGATTTTTGTGTACATTTTATATAAATATTCTGGATATTTTATGTACGTTTTATGTAATGTCTTATATATATATATATATATATAGTGATTACAAATTAACTGTATACAATACAATTAATTTGCAAGGTCATATAGGATATATATTAGAAAGGACAGCAATACAGGCATATGCAGCTCCTCTACATGTTACTATATCACTATTGGCCTCTAGATGGCAATAACATACTTTTTTATTTTATAGAACACATTTTAAAAAATGTAAAAATCCTATTTTGTTCAGGTCGTGGCATTAGCTGGTTATCACCTAACTTTATTATTATACTGTAGTTGTGTGATCCAAAACATAAAACATTTTATTCACACCAAACAAAGTGCAAAACCTTTGATCTGGTCTGCCAGTGAGAGATGTTGTTTTTTTTGTACTAACTCCAGCTTTCGGTTCTCTTTTATCAGTTATTGTAACGTTTGATCGTAAAACCTCTTGTATACGTTTGTTAGCATTGATTGGCCTTTGGATAGTGCATTGAGCGTCAAAATGCCTACTGAAAATCTGACTGATAAACGCATGTCCAAGTTCAAAAATAAGGGCAAGGAGCCAACGGTGAGCTGTGCATATATTCTGGCAATTTTCCCCTTTTAACGGTTCACTCCTTGATCTCTTGATGTCTCTGCACCCTATCTATGCTTGCAGAAAATGCGTGACCATAGAATCGCAGAGTGTGTTGAGCTTCGAAAAGCTCAAAGGGTTGAAAGTATTTTGAAGAGGAGAAATATCTCCTCTGTGGGAGACGAGGAGCCTCTGTCACCAGAGTATAACACTGACAACGAACAGGTGTTTGTTAGTTAAACATTTAATTAGAATTCACATGTATACAATACTCTTGAAACTCACTGTTTTTATTTTGTTAAGGTCACATCTGCAACAATTCAAGAAATTGTTGCAAATGTGAACCGTGACTGCCCAGAGAAGCAGAGACAAGGTTGTCAAGCAGCTAGGTACAATCACCAGTCTTAACTGAAGGAGGTTGTAGAATCTGGACTTCTGACTCACTTTGTGGAGTTTCTAGGAAGGCATGATGACCCCACGCTGCAGTTTGAGGCTGCCTGGTCTCTCGCCAACGTAGCATCTGGCACCTCCTGGCACACACAGCAGGTGGTATAGCACGGGGCGGTGCCAGCCTTCATTGCCCTGCTGGCTTCACCAATGCTTAACATCAGTGAACAGGCTGTCTGGGCTTTAGGCAACATTGCAGGTGAGTATACTTTGAACTTCATTGTGTTTTCTGGATTCTAAAACAATATGGCGGTAGAATATTTGTACTCTTAATGATTGGTGAAACTTGGGTTCTTGAATGTTCAGAGAGGAACAAAGGATGACGATGCAAGTTGTACTCTTCTGAAGATTGAAAAACCATTTGCCAAGGTGTTCTTTCTCCCTTTTTAGGTGATTGTCCATCATATCGAGATGCCCTGACTGACTGTGGTGTCATCCTTGCTCTGTTGGCACTACTCATGCTAGATGCTCCTGTGAGTTTCTTCTGGACACCCCACACCCGAGTTGCAAGTGTAAATGCATAATGTTATCCACAAAATGTTTTTGCAGGTGGGATACCTTCGCAATCTTACGTGGACCCTGTCAAACCTTTGTAGCAACAAGAATCCCTTCCCTCGTTTCAGAGCAGTCCAACAAATGCTCCGCTCCATTATCCAACTGCTCCACCATAGTGACAAATCCATCCTGTCTGATGCATGCTGGGCCATTTCGTACCTCACTGAAGGACCCAATGAGTGGATTGATGTGGTCATCAAGACTGGAATCCTTCCACGGTTGGTTGAGCTCTTGGGATTTGAGGAACTTGCTGTGGTGGTAAGTACTCTAGTGTTTTGTTTTCTTTTGGTGTTGAAACTGAACCGCTTAAGGGGAGTTTCTCCAATATGCTCTAGACACCAGCCTTGCGTTCGATTGGGAATATCGTGAGTGGCTCAGACACAAGCGGCCATTGATGCAGGCGTGTTGAGTGCCTTGCCCCATCTGATGCGACACCCTAAGTCCAGTGTTCAGAAGGAGGCAGCTTGGGCGGTGTCCAACATTGCAGCTGGACCCTGCCAACAGATCCAACAGCTCATCACATGTGTGGATTGTTGGCTCCTCTAGTGGATCTCCTAAGGAATGTATGTCGTAACTGATGCCTTGTTTGCATGTTGAGTGTCTTCTGCCCACGCAGAGTTGCCCATAAAATGTTCTGGCTTCTACTTGATTGCTTGCCTCTCCTAAAGCTGGGCATAAAATGAGGCCAATTATGCAAGCAGACCCTCCTGGGGCTTCTTGAAATGTAGTTGCATTTCCAGTTGGCAAAAGTGTACCGTAACATGCTCTGTCAGATCTTTGAGGTAATTATATTGAAAAGAGTTTAAGCAAATGGCTATACTGAATTTGGTCTTGTGCAAGAATTTCTGACTGTTTCTAATGTTTGCAGTTATATCATAATTTGACTCGGATAACTGCTGTAATGGCAGTCTTTGGTTTTTGCATCTCTTTACTAATATTTGTAAATGCAGCTAATTAAGGTTCATAAATTCATAAATGGATGTCTACTTTGCAGACAAAATAGGCAATGCATCCTCAAAGTCTACCCACTTTACAATGTTTGTTTGGCCAGGATCTATGACACTTTGGGACACTCTTTATGTACCTCTTCAAACTGTTTTGCAGGGTGACTTCAAAACCCGGCGAGAGGCAGTATGGGCAGTGACCAACTACACCAAGTGGTGGGACTGTGGACCAAGTTGTTCATCTGGTCAAGTGCAGTGCTTTAGAGGCCATCTTGAACTTGCTTCAAGTTAAAGACACCAAGACTGTCCTAGTCATGCTAGACACCATAAATAACACTTTCTTGGTGAGTACACAATGTGTGGTTTCAAAGAGAATATGTAAAACCCTACTGCAACTCCCAGTGCTTTGCGTTATGAGAGATATGCTAAAATATTAACTGTGTGCCTTCTGCAGGCTGCTGAGAAACTTGGGGAGGTGGATAAGCTTTGTTTGTTGGTGGAGGAAGTGGGAGGGCTGGATCGAATTGAGTTCCTTCAAAACCATGAGAACAATGCTGTTTATCGTGCGGCTCATAGTGAGAAGTATTTCAGTGAGGTGGGTGTGTCAAGTGATTTTTGTTTGGATGGGGAGGTTTCTTGTCAAACGTTATTGTAATACTTTTGTTCACCCAAAATTAAATTTTCCATCACTCAAGTTGTTACAACCCTATATGCGTTTCATTCTATTGAACATAAAATATCTTTTAAAGAATGTAGTTAACCAAAGAGTTTCTGGTCCGCATAAAAAAATTTAACAGCCCAACCTTTGTGTAGTTATTTTACAATGCTTCTTTCTCCCAAAATATTCAACCCTTATGTTTTTAAATTGGTAAACCGTAACACAGCATTTCACAGCATCATTTTGAATGGCAAGTAAGAAAATGTGCACTTTCACCTGGACATCTCAGGAAGTATTAACTCTTACTCTGGATAAACAATTATTAATAATCGCAGCTTCAATAACTATTTGCATCGACAAAAACAAAACAGTGGAATGTGAAATGATCCATTTACTAGGACTGCACACATTTTTGGTTTGAATCAAAACATTGTATTAGAGTAACTTGGTTCCTTGAAGGCTTTCTTAGAAAAACCCTCTAAACATGCCCTGTACAATAAATCTATTATCTTGGACAAACATGAAGAGCTTTCAGAATTTACATGACACATTCACGCTTCATTATGGATCAAACCTTAGAACCAGAGAAAATGATTCCCACTCCTATTCAGAGAATGGTAGTTCTCTTACAGTCTCTTAATTTAATCATCACATTCATCCTCACTGTCAACATCTTTTTCCTTTTCCTTTGGAGGAGCTACAGGTGGAAGATCTAGTCGGGCCCATGACATTGGTTCTGCCTTCTTCAACACAACCTCAATTTTGGTAGCCATCATGTTTACCAAACTTCTACTTGCATCAATTACCTAAAGGGAATAGCAAATGGACAAAAGTCTTCGAATTATTAAATAATTTGATGCTTTTTTTGTATTGTAGTGGTGAAGTTTGTGTTAAAGCAATAAGCCTCAAAAAGCTGTGGTTTACACTGATTTTAGAACAGCTAAGTGGTGTTGTTATGCATGACGCACAGTGGAAACCCCCCAGATCTGGAACAATCCATTTCATAAAACTGTAATATTAAAATACATTCTCCTACCCAATTAAATAAGCAGACACAACTTTGGGAAGCCAATCTGAAAACATTTTTCATATTTCAAATTTCATATTTTTATTTTAACTTTATTCTTTTCAGTAATGTTAGTGCCACATGTTGTATACACTTCAGCTTTAATGAAAGAGTTTTAAGTACTTTACAAGTCTATACTTACCCCCCACAAACTGATCTGCTGTTCAAATTCTTTCTCTCCTTCAAATATAATGTGGATTTTGAGCTGCAAGAATAAAATACATTTTAAATTACCGCTATACAGAATCTTGCAAATAAATGTAAAATTATACAGTAAAATATTGAGCACAGGAATTAGTGGTAGTAAAAAAAAAAAATCACACCTATGAGACTTTCTATGTAATGTCAGCATAAAATCCAACAGAAGTGACCTTGGTGTCTTACCACAGTGCTGTTCCCCTCCACTGAGCTCAGCTCTGGTACTGAATTTTTGGCATAAATTGAAATGATGACCTGACTTCCTGTTTGATGCCAATCAAACCTGCATGGCACAACCTTCTTTCCCTGTGCACACATAGAAAAATGTCATCCTCCACTTAAAACGGGATTCACCTGTAAATGTATTAAACATTATGGCCTTCAACAAATAATTTGTTCAGTTAGAACTTGGATGTGGGCCTGCAAAAGGCCAGATGCTCTAATTTTTTTTTATTGGACAGGATGTGAAAAAAAAAATAAAATAAATAAAATTAAAGGGGTGCTGCTAAAAGAAAATCTCTTTGAATTTGAGACTTTAGTCTTTGCAACTTTACAGATCTTCTTTATGCACCAAGAGCTTGTAACACTCCAAAGAGAAAGGAAAAATTGAAATCGCATCATATGACCCCTTTAAGTTATATAGTGCTTTGACTTTTAAATCTCATGGTAGACACTTACTGTATCTTTTTTCTTCCACTGATGCTTTCCTTGGGTACAGCCCTCCTGAGACAGAAACGTGTTGAAGTCTGAGGTTTTCCTCTTACAGCAGCTCCAATATTTCATCCTTTAATGAGGAAGGATAAAAAGAGGACTTAATTGCATAGTCCACAGATATATCTGAAATTTCTCCATTTACACTTTTCTAGTAGTAGTATTCAGTTTTGATCAGGCGCTAATTTACCCTTCATGGAAGATAGGTACACCAGCATGATACAAACATGTCTCTTCATCACTGGCTGGTCCGCTGAATGTCTGAAAAATAGAATAATGAGAATCCATTGTTTATAATGGACTAAAGAGATTCAACGTGCCATGGTTTCTAATCGGAAAAGCAGGCAGAGAGAACAGTACCTTACTGCAGCCTCCATTCTTACAGGACGTCCCTATCTTAATTTCATCACTATCCTCCTCTATAATACAAGAAAGAGAATAAAATGCATCAGAGTAATAGACAAACATAGAAAGGTGGGGAAAAGGATGGTTGGGATATTCTTACCCTTTATCTCCTGTGCATTTTCCTCAGTCAATGTAAGCTTTTCTAAAGCCTGTTCAAGCGAAGGAGAGATCTTCTGTTGTAGACTGGAGAAAGGCTCATCTGGACTACAAAGACAATTAAAAATGGCTGTTTTCAGTCATTTATCCTTAAGAGGTTGTAACATCAATGTGGGTTTTGGCTGGGTGAACTGTTAATGAGAATAACTTGTTCTCTATAATAGTTTTAATGCTGCATTACTTTATCTTCTGAACATCTGAACTAATGAGCCAGAAAATACAAATGGGAAGACCCTGTCCTCTTCAAGTGTGCTTTTACCTTGGTCGTTGAATAGACTCCAGAGGTTTTGGTGCTTGGGTGATGCATTCATTAAACTTTGGCTTCCCATCATTCACGTTCTTGTCCACAGAGGACTTCACTTCTGGTTTAACAGGCTCAGAGGGCTTCTCCTGATTATGAGGGCCTTTCGTGCAACCCTAAGAGATTCATAAATACAGACAACCGTTTTAAGACTCCAGCCACAACTCTGTCTACGAAAACACTCATTCAGTCTCATCACAGATGAGCACTCACAGCAATACTGAGGAAATCCGAAAAGTCAGTTGTTCGTCTCTTGCAGCAAGACCAACCCTGGGAAGCAATGGAAGACACGATTTAATGGGTTTAACTCCGAGTAACATAACAATGGAACGGTTAAATTTCACATTAATAAGTAAACTGATCTTCTTGCATGTCCTCACCTTCAATGCATCATGAAACACTGGCACTCCAGGGTGGTATGTGCATGCATCTATGGATGAGAAGAGATTGATAGCGTGAAATGTGACGTCAAAAGAATATAGTCACATGTTAGTGTGTAGATCAAGTTTGCAACAACTGCCATCTGTAAACGATATAATAATTTACGAAATCCGATCTACTGATTAAGCATCATTTAAACGTTAAGAACCACCACAGCAGATGCCTCACTATTACTAAATTAATTTGCTAAATTATATTTACATAAAATTTACATATAGCTCTTGAGAGGCGGTCATGTTTCGTTAATATTACATGTATATCAATAAATGTTATTAAAGACAAGAGGTTTTGTTTCTGCATTTATCCTGCTACCTACCATAGCAATCCGGCTATCGTTTTGTTTGTTAAGTCTTACCATCTGAATTCTTGTCGGGATCAAAACGTTGTCCACATCCCTTATTATAACACAGTACAGACATAATGTACGACAGAACTAAAACATATATTGTACAACGTGGTCAAGAGGGAAGGATCCGAAGACTTGACTAGCTTGCTGCTACTGCTTCCCGTCGTGAGGTCCCTTCCGGAATCTTTCGTTAATTTCCGTAAATTGTCGTGCAGCGCCTCGGCTCCAATCGTGTATTTTCGGAATGTCTCGGAATTGGTTGAATTGATGGGATCACAGAGTGAGAGATGGGATGCACCACCTAAGGGAGTTGTGAATTAAAAACACAGATCAAGAACACAGACAAGGCAGTGCATGAAAAAGAGCCCTGTTCTTTTATATTTTACGCCACCACATAAAATTAGTTACCCCCCAAAAAAATCTAATTATCATGAATATGTTATTTTTATGTTGCAACAATCTTAAATGCGTTTTTAATGGCATTGTCAAGAACATCAATATTGTTTTGCGCGCTCTATTTAGCGTAAACACATTAATCTAATTGTCTAATGTTTGTGTGAGATAAGGTTAAGATCATTTTGTTAGCCTATATCGGACAGCAGCAACACCGGGTTTCGTTTGCGCATTCAAGGGATAACGTGCACTCGTGAGCGCGCATTAGGAGGTGCGCGCTCCGCTGATTACAGTCAACTGTGAGTGGAAGAGTCCTGTATGGCAAAGAAGTGAAGGATGTAGTTGCACAGAGCGGACTCTTGGATGTCTGCAGCGCAGAGATTTCTTTCTCCCTAAGCCAGAGGTAAGAGCTCATTCACATATTTTGATGCACTAATTATCGGAGAACAAGTGACTACTCGGTCTCAGTAACAAATATATTTTACTCCACAGCGTTGAAAGTTTCCTTTCATTACAATCGCATTTTAATGGATACTCGTGCGTTCATTGGAGAGAATCGGTTTTGTTTGACATGATCAAAGTTATTTACTTAAAATGCAATACACAAATGTAGCCTAATGCTAAACTATAGGTTATGTGTCATTTAGTCTTTTGTTGCACTTTACCTTCAAGAACATTTAAATATTATTTGTTGTACCTGTATCTCATATATATATATATATATATATGGCTATTAACCCTGACTTTTGCTCTTCGTTGCTGTTATCATACTTGCAGTGAGATCTAACCATCTAACTCGCTTGTCAGTGTTTTGTGAAAGGGAATTACTGAGTCCATTGAGAACAGGGTCAGGTATTTATTTATTTTTTGACAATTTAATCCAAACCAAGGGCTTCTTAATAAATAACTGCCTTCACATTTATGTGAGCAATAGGATATGTCTTTGTGAGATGAATGCCCTTGATTGAAATAGTTTACTGCATATCTCTTTTTTGCAGGATAACTGGATGATGGCATGGCTATAAACAGCTGCCCTGGGGGTAGTATGAGGATCTGTCTCACTAGTTTCTCCTTATTGCTCCTCCACCTACTTCCTTGTTTGGGGCAGCTGCAGGAGCCAGGGTCCTCATCCTTTCAATTTACCGCCTCCATCTACAATGCCACCATTTATGAGAACTCTGCAGCTCGGACATACATTAGGACTGAGGTTAAAATGGGGATTCCTCTATCTAAGTTGGGTCTTTTGGACATCAAATATTCCATTGAATCTGGAGACGATGAGGGGCTGTTTCAGGCTGATAAATATATATATATATATATATATATATGGCTATTAACCCTGACTTTTGCTCTTCGTTGCTGTTATCATACTTGCAGTGAGATCTAACCATCTAACTCGCTTGTCAGTGTTTTGTGAAAGGGAATTACTGAGTCCATTGAGAACAGGGTCAGGTATTTATTTATTTTTTGACAATTTAATCCAAACCAAGGGCTTCTTAATAAATAACTGCCTTCACATTTATGTGAGCAATAGGATATGTCTTTGTGAGATGAATGCCCTTGATTGAAATAGTTTACTGCATATCTCTTTTTTGCAGGATAACTGGATGATGGCATGGCTATAAACAGCTGCCCTGGGGGGAGTATGAGGATCCATCTCACCAGTTTCTCCTTATTGCTCTTCCACCTGCTTCCTGGTTTGGGGCAACTGCAGGAGCCAGGGTCCTCCTCCTTTCAATTTACCACCTCCATCTACAATGCCACCATTTATGAGAACTCTGCAGCTCGGACATACATTAGGACTGAGGTTAAAATGGGGATTCCTCTATCTAAGTTGGGTCTTTTGGACATCCGCAGATATCGGCGCCAATGGCGAGTTTTACTATTTCTTCAAAAAAGACGTGGAGGAGTTTGCTGTCCACCCAACCAGTGGGGTGGTATCACTCACAGCCAAGCTAAATGCAGATAAGAACAGCAGATTTGACCTTGAGGTTTTAGCAGTGGATCGTGGAATGAAAGTTTATGGGAACAGTGGTATTAGCAGTACAGCCAAACTAGTGATCAGTGTTGTGCGTATCAATGAGTTCGCTCCAACACTGACTGCAGTCACTCGATACCCTTTAATATCAGACAAAGAGCCAGTTTACGCCATTGTTACTGTAGAAGATTTGGACGAGGGACCCAATGGAGAAATTGAATGGGTTGCCATCATCGCAGGTGACCCACAGGAGCAGTTTGTCTTTGGCAGAGCTCCACTTGGAAATGAGTACAAGCTGAAAATGTCTGAACCAGTCAACTGGGACAAATTTCCTTATGGTTGCAATCTCACTTTTCAAGCCAAAGACAGAGGAACACCACCAAGACTCTCCAACACTCAGTCTGTTCAGCTCTTTGTGAAAAAACCACAGTCTGTGCAGGTGAGTTTCGAAAAGAAGATTTACAAAACCTCAATTATTGAGATTGCACCACGTGGGACCATAATAGAGACTGTGAGGATATCTCCAGGTCCACCCGTCGTCAGCTATGCTCTAAGCCTGACCTCAGATTCAATTTATTTTATCATTAATCCATTCACTGGTGTCATCTCAACAGTGCAACAGTTTACCACATTAAACCAGGAGCTCTTTGATTTAGAGGTGATGGAGACAGTAAGTGGCATGACTGCAAAAGTGCAAATCACGGTTGAGGATGCTAATGACAACTGCCCAGTGTTTACCAGCACATCTTACGAAGTCTCTATCAATGAGAGTGTCCCCATTGGCACTAGCATTCTTACTGTATCAGCGGTGGATGATGATAAAGGTGATAATGGGTGCATAACATACAGCATAGCCAGCCTTCAGCCCCTTCCATTCATCATCAACCAAAATACTGGAGAACTGACGACATCCAAAGAACTTGATTTTGAATCGTCTTTGGAGACATACGTGTTCGCCGTCCGAGCCTCAGACTGGGGATTGCCTTACAGACGAGAAAGTGAAGTCAATGTCACTGTACAAGTGTTGAACATTAATGACAACCAACCCCTTTTTGAGCGTGTGTCATGTAAAGGTACGATAGGACGTGATTTTCCTGTGGGCCAAACGATCATCATAATGTCTGCCATTGATATTGATGAGCTTGGGTTGGTTAAATATAAGATTCTGTCTGGAAATGAGCAAGATATTTTCACTCTTAACCCGGACTCGGGGATATTGACATTGAGAAGACCACTATCTGCAACGAGTGTAAATAATGAACAATTCAACTTGAAAATAGCTGCGTCAGATGGTGAGCTGCTCTCCGAACCCACCTTTGTAAATATATCATTGGTCAAAGGGAGAATGCCAGCAAGAAGTTTCAGTTGTCGAGACACAAAAGTTGCACAGAAGTTAGCTGAGAAACTTCTGAAAAGAGCCACTGTCATTAGCAAATCCAAAGTGGAGGAAGGCTACACCGATCTATTTTCTGTCAACAGACAGACGCCTCAGTTTGAATCCTTTCCATCGGACATTGTAGTTCGTGAGGACATGCCCATGGGAACAAGTGTCCTTCAAGTGAACACAAATGATGGTGACACAGGCTTTAATGGTCGCATTCTGCATGCCATATCAGATGGGAACGTTGACAGCTGCTTCAATATTGACATGGAAAGTGGCCTAATATACATCTATCAGCCACTGGACCGTGAACGATCAGATCGGTACCTCCTTAACATAACTATATATGACTTGGGCCTTCCACAGAGATCCAGCTGGAGATTGCTGACAGTTAACATTGATGATATGAATGATAACAGCCCAAAATTCTCCCTCGAGAGCTATACTGCCATTATACCAGAGAATGCAGCTATCGGCACGGAAGTGATCCGGGTCACAGCCTCAGATGAAGATCTCGGTCAGAACGGTGAAGCCTCATACACCTTGTTAACAAGCACCCATTTGTTTGCAATTAACAGCGAGACTGGTTCTATTTATGTGTCTAGTCATTTGGACAGGGAGTCCATCTCGGATTTCACCCTCAAAATTCAGGCCAGGGATAAGGCAGAAAGAGGGAATCAGATGTTCTCAGAGACAACACTGAGAGTCTACCTTGAGGATGTAAATGACTGTGCCCCTATGTTTATTCCCAGGAGTTACAGTTGCTGTGTGTTGGAGGACCTTCCTATAGGTGCAGTTATAGCTTGGCTGCAAACGCAAGACCCTGACCTTGGATCTGGGGGATGGGTGAGATACTCCCTGCCCAATGATTTCAATGGAACATTTAAGATCCATGCTGAAAGTGGTACCATTAAGGTTGCCAAAGACCTGGACTATGAGAAGCAACAATTTTACAATCTCTCGGTGGTTGCAGAGGACTTGGGTTTTCCAGTTAAGCTTCGCTCCGAGTCTTATCTTGAAGTGGAAGTCATTGATGTCAATGAGAACCTCAATGAACCGTATTTCTCAGAAATCGCAGTGAGGGGCACTGTGAAGGAAAACTCTTGGCATGGAACAAGTGTCCTGCAGGTGACTGCTCAAGATGATGACAAGGGCAGAGATGGAGTGATCAGATACTCTATCAATGCTAGAAGTGGTCTTGGAAGGTTCTCAATTGATGAAGAAACAGGTATCTATAGTTTGATTCTTTATGTGCCTTTTGGTTGTGCTACTCTTTGCCTTTTTTAAAAACTAACCAGTCCTGAGTCGATGCTCGCACAATAAAACAAAACCTGTGAAAATGGTTGTGAATTTATGCCCTAACATTTTACTGCAGTGTGCTGACTGAATGGTATTAAAAGTTCACAGTGACGTTATTTCTCTTGGCAATGAATTTGTGC